CCCCCCCAATGTAGTTTGTGCAATTGCCAATCTAAAATAAGGGCACTAGATAATATAAAATAGCAACAAGTAAGCAGTAAAGGAAATTTCAATTTCCTGTACAATACTGCAACTGTAACACTTTGTTAGTTACAGGAATTTGGGCACTGCATTTGTTAGTTACAGGAATGTGGGCTACTGAAGCAGGTAGGTATGAAAGTAAGAAATCAGTGTTTGGAAGTCAATGTTGATGTTGCCATCTTTGCTGCATAAACATCTGCTAAAACTTCTATGAACACCACTGTTCCAATGTTAGACAACAGCAAAAAGTGATTATTAGAATATGTTACTCTCACAGCAAAAATACAAAGGCCAAGGCTGAGCTGACAGCCAGGCCCTGTCATTCCAAACAAGCCCAGCATAGACCTCCAGCAGCACTGTATCAAACTGTCATTGCCAAACATCAAATTCGTATGAAACCAGGTAAGACATATGAGAATATTCATTGAGACTCAAATGGAAAAAGCATGAAGTAGGTCACTACCTAACAGATGATATGAACTCATGAGGATCTAATTATAAAATATCATGGAAGAATGATCTTTTAAGATGAGACCATACTGCTTCAAGCCTTTCCCTCATCCCACCTCTCCTACAGAAACACGATCTCCAGGCCACATCTGTGCTGAGAAACAGCAGAAAGGACAGGTCATTTCTTCCCCATTCCCTCTCACTTCCACTGTCCTGAGAAATTCTCTCCTACCTCCTCCATTTATCTGCTTTATGAATGCTCAAATAACTTAAATGTGAAGCAGGCAATCTTAAAACTTGATGACAATGCCATAAATTTCAATTTACTTGTTGACTGGGTGCTTTAAAGAAGGCAAAACAGCACCTATAAAACAACCTGTGGAAAGTGAAAACCATCATAGTGAATAATGCTTTTTGGGTAAGGCAATGCCAGTTATTCTAGGGACTGCAACAAACCATACAATCCTACGCCTGCTGACATAGATGAGAAGACACTAAGATGCAGGAGTTCCTACACAACCAACAGACATGAATGCCATTCTCAAATGAAAGAAACAAAATGTTTAAAATCTCCAAGTTTGATTTGAAGTGAATAGTGTTCCTCAAGAGAAGGCCAGAAACTAAATATCCTGATACCAAAATGTCCAAGGAAGTCCAAACAGTTGCTTGTGCTTAAGATTCAACACGTTAGTTACCCTTGAGATGCACCAGCATTCCTCTAACTTTTTCCTTTCTTTCCTAGAAAAATAACTTCATAGTGCCTTCAGAGGGTCTTCTCTTCCTCATCTCTTCTTTGCTGCCTCTAAGCATTTCCCACAGGAAAAGCACCAAGATGACAGCCAAGGGCTTCATGACTTATTTCTGATGAGTTCCCACCTCACTAGTCACACACCTCAGGCAAACTCCTACATTGCTTGGGAGTCTTCAGGGTAAAATGACAGCAAGGTAATTTAATCAAGTATAAAACATTAAAGTATCACTTCGACCATTATGAATGTTCAACCATAAGGAGTGTTTTCCTATTTTGCTTCTGATTATATTCTTCTATTCTTACTAGCTCTCTGTTTGATCCTTATCATAGCTGAAATGTTTTAAGCATGAAAACATAACATGTTAAGAATGGAATACAGACTTTAAAAATTAACATCTAGAATTTTTCCTATCAACCTGGGTAAGCTGTACTTTACCAATTTGAGTAGAAGCCAGTTTTATTACAAGATAGGAAGTCCTTCCAGCTACTTAAGGACAAAATAAGAGTGTAAAAGATATTATTGATATAAAACTACGAGAAGAAGAGCTTGATAACTGACTTCAACAAAGCAGCTAGCAGGCTTATACATCTACTCATTCTAAGAAACATTATGAGAAGCAATACTATAAAATAATAATAAAAAAAAAATCAGTACTAACACAAACAGAAGTGGAGAGTCTTTTTAATGCAGTTTAAAAACTCCACGAGTCTAAGGGCTGATGACAGTAGTACAAAAGGGAAATTAACAAAAAATGAGGAAGAGTCAGTATGGTTTGTTTTACAAATATTTCATATAACACCACCAACATCTGCAATTTTACATGGTATCTTCCTGCAAGAGGTCTTATTAGATGATAAATAGAAAAGTGAGTATTTACATGTGATAAACACATTGATCAATATTTGAGAAAATGGAAGAACTTTTAAAATGTCTATAGTCAGTGCCAATTTCTTTTCACCTTTATTACCAGTAAATTTTACTTGAAAGAGAAAAGCAATAGTAAGAATGTGAGGAGCAATGATCAACCAACAGGACTCAGTTGGATCACAAAGGACTGTTTAAAGTTCAAAGAATAAATGGAAACTGTGCTGGACATCACGCTGTGGTTAAGCTGTTCAGTAAATCCAGGCGTCTAGCACTGGATTAAAGAAAAAACCCCTGAACGACATATGTTTTACACCACTGTGGTATAAACCCACTTTGCTGATTCAAAACCTGTGTTGGATTGCCTGTAAACTGGCAGACCTGGGCCTAACCAGGTATCATCTGTTCACAACACTTCAGCTTTTAGACAGATCAAATATCATCTGTTGTCTCCCTGTCAACTTAAAAAAAATCAAAAGGTAACACAAACACCGTCTCATCCGGTCCAGCTAATTTAATAGAAAGGTGATTATATGTCACAGACTGATCTGGACCACATTTGCACTGTATGACCCAGCAGAATGCATCTCCATCAGTAATGATAAGCAGCCTTCAAGGGAAAGATTGGCAAACCCAATTCTTAGAACAATTGAGGGTTGCATTGAAAACAAATTGGCAGCAAAAATAAATTAAGAAATGAAGAAATGTAAGTGAAGTGATCCTCAGAAGCAGGCAAGGGAAATGTTTCTTCCTGTTGAATATTTAAACTATTTCAAGGAAAAATTATAAATAAAACATCTGTAGGCAAAGGATTTACTGCAGTGAGTCTTTTTGGTGACTGATGCCAAACATAATTTGAAAAGCTTATAGGTATCAGGCCAGCTGAAGATGTGACACTTGGATGTCAGGCCAAACGTGACACTGATGTCAATGGCTCATCACTGCTCTGTCAGAGAGGAACCAGCTTTAAAATCAAGAAGAGGAGAATTAGGTGACATTCTCCATCCCAGGGGATCATCTAGGCACAATTTATTGTATTCGGAAATGAATGAGTGCTTGTTACACATTCTCAAATGTTGAAGATGGAGGTTTTCACTTGTAAATGATGGAAACTGAAACAAACTATTTAGAATACAGAAAAGCACAGGCTAGAAACTGTAGGCTCTTTAGCATGCAATGTCCCATCCATTCAGTGTACCTTCCACTCATATAATTATTATAATAACAATTATTAAATAAATATATCTCTTATTAAAAAGCATGTTATATTTTTTCACTTACAGAAATGTATCATTTTTTAAAGGCAAAATAGAAAGCTTCTCTTCCCAAGATGTTGAATACCAACAGTGACATTGAGGATATGATCAGAGCAGACCAAAGCAGTGGGACCATATCAGAGACTGCCAGCTTCAAATATTTTATGGAAAAAACAGGTAGTATTAAAAGGTTTTCTGGAAGAAGTTTACAAATCTGAAACCAATGTAGTCATCCAGCACAAAGCCATAAAACTCTTAAGATTACTTCATCTGTCAATTCCCAGAATCTACCCATTTAAAACCAGAAGTGCTTAACACAAGCAAAATCCTATCATTTAGATCATGAAAATACCGCTGAGGCAGCGAAACACACATGAACTTTAGGATACAGAAAGTGAAAAGATGTTTAATCTGTAACAAAGAGAAAAATTATTTGTCTAGTGCACAAGCTAGCAACTGAATGCATTACTGTGTGTGGAAATCAGCACTGAACAGTATAAACCAATGCACATGTTGTTACATCTACAGCACATGAATTGGTGATTAACTGGAAAATAAAACGTGTGTTGTTATTGTCTCTCACGGCAACTCTCACAGAACTGGCACCACTGTCATTCAAGTTACAGAAGACTTCAGAAAAAGCTACATCGCAACTGTACACACATTAGGATTAACAACTTCCATTTGCAAGAGGAAGAAAAAATACAAAAATAAAATTACTTAAAATAAAACTATGTTAAATTTAGAGAAGATATGCAAAACAAGCACATCAAGTACAAGGTGTCAGCAGGAAAAAAACACCTCTTTTCAAAAGGGATTAAAAAATATCTTTGGAAAAGCACATACCCAAATGATTAACACTATCTATAACCTTGAATTGTCTTCCTTCCTCCTGACTGTACACAAATATTTGTCAAAGAAGACCTCTCTTAAGGACACATTCAAGGCTCTTGCATGCTATAATCACTTGCATTGGATCATCTCATCAGCTGCTTCGTCACACAGAGGAACCTGAACAAGCAAGTTTCCTTGGCTAGTTCTCAAACAGCAACACACCTCTCCTGACCAGAAAACAGGATTTTCCCAAATGCTAGGTATGAAAATATACTGTGTCTGTGAGCCTGATTATTCATAAACAGGTCCTTTAGCCTGATCTACATCTTCAAATATTGTATGCATAACATAAAGGCCTCTACAGATCAACTAATGGATGAAACAATCTGAGAAACTAATAGAACTTAAATGCTTCTACATTTCTACAAATTATTTTACGTGTCTTTGAATATCCCTGACAGTACTGAATACTTAAAATAAAGAACTAGTTCATAATAGAACTGACAGGTCTCAAAATATGGTGTCAAAATTTATAACTTGTGAAGCATGTGGGCTGGGATGTAACACAACAAGAAATTCTGCCCACAGGAACTGAATATAATTTTGGAGAAACTCTTAAAAAATAGAATTGCATTAACTATTATATACAGCATATTGCTGTCTTCAGAATATTACAGTTAATGAATATATCTTTAGAGAAAAAAGAGACTTAAGATAGGCAATTTACAAACATAATGCTGCCTACACAGTCATGTGTAACACAGAGGAGATGGTTCAAAAATTCAGCTGCTAGAAACACACCCTTACTAAATCACATATAAGTATCTAATCGGATTATATCAAAATAAAGTTGCAATTACAGTAATGTCATCACCATTTTTACTTTACTACTGAAGGGTATATTCTGCAACATATGAAAAGACAAAAATACAGTGCCTCTCCTGGACTCCCAAGTATGTCTGATCCTTCAGCATGTTCCTCAACCCACATTTATGAAAGATCCCATTAACCACAACAGGACTACAGATGTGATCAAAACTAGGAACTTTCCGCCTTACTGGATCAGTACCCTAAATCCCTCATGATTACTTTTTAAGCCACCACAAAGTGTATACAACACCAAATGCACATAAACATACTGTCACTTGTACACATGCTGCATTTGGACAGAGCTGTCATAGCATGTAATACCTTCAGGCAGAACACTGTGATAACTTGTCTTTAACATCCATAGTTGACAACTGTCACGAAAGCACAAAAGTATTTGTACAATTTGAACAAACTCTGTCAGACAGAAGACTACTTTCTTACGAGAAGCACTTTTAAAATTACACCATTATTCTGAACTCTGCCTCTGAGTTGCATAGCTATGTAGCAACACCACACCAGATTGTTACCAAATGCATCCTTAAAAATCTGTATTATGGTTGGCATCAAGCCAACTTCAGCCTAGTGCGGATTCAGAGATGGTCACCCAGAGCTTTTTCTGATGTAAAAATTACTAATCTGAACTGTTTGGGGCTTTTTTCCCTGAATATAGAGAAATATAAAATATACATAATATAAAATAGATATAAAACTTTAAAAGGGTTCCTGTTTTCAATACGAAGTTTCACATAGGTATATACAAAATGTTATTGACTCACCCTCCTTCACTTTCTGCTTCCTCAGAGCTGGTAGTTTCTGTTGCACCAGAAGCTGTCTCGGCTTTTCTCCGCTTTGTTGCTCTGTGCGAAGGGCTAACTCTCTGAACATCTCCCTTCCCTTTAAGTTCATTTCTGACACGCTCTTCAAGCTTTGGAATGGCTTCTTTCAGAAATGTCACCTCTCTCTTCAGCTCGTCCACACTTACTAGCAAGCCATTCAATTTTTCTAGTATCTGCAGTTGCCTTCCGTGTAAAACCATTACTGCTCCTTGCTCATTAGGAGCTTCATTTCGCCAGCCCACGGAATTAAGCCTGTTACCTACATCTAGGAATGCAGGTATATGCACAGCTGCACCGGGTTTTCGGGTCTTACGGTACCAAATCAGCATCAGGCTTATTCCAGCAGTCCCTGCCATTATGCCCAGTATTAGTCCTTTATTTTCGAAGGGAGACATTTCTGCACTCTCCTAAAATCGTGAGACAACAATAACAGTCGGAGTTAAAAGTTTTTCCTCCTCTACCCAAAGGACTTACTTTGCTTTTAAGTCACAAAAGCGTACGGCTTGAATAACTGTCGCATGCTGCAGATACAAAGTCCCACTACAACTCTAGCAGATTCTGCAGTAGCAGGCTCTGTGCTGTGACAGCAAAACCCAGCCGGTTCTGGGTCTGGGGAGCGGGGGCAGGATGAGGGGCACACACTGCTGCATCCGCACGTGCGCAGGACCGCAGCCTTCACTTTTAACCTTCTCCGCACCTTGGGATTTGTTTTGATACGACAAACTCCTATAATCGGATTTTCCGCAAGTACCGGCCGGCGGAAACCCCGCTGTCAGGCCGCAGCGCAGCCGCCGCTGCCGCCCGGAGGGGTGTCCCATCGCCCCCCCGACCCCACCGCGCCGAAGGGCTGCCGGA